GATTCCTCAGAATGCTTTAAGAATTAACTGACTCGAAAACGACATACTCACTGTCTGTATCTGCACTGGTAATACAGAGAGACCGCTCACATTTTCAGACATGATAGAAATGTCACTTATAGGCATATCGCCTCAGTATTTGAACTGCCTTGGAATATTTGGTTATGAAGCTTGCCTCACTCAGCGAGTAGCATTGACTAACACAACATTTTGGACGTTCCTGGCTGATTTCCCTCAATGCTGACGACTAATCGCAGTGAAATGGTTTTGGGTTGGCGACGATTGGCCATTCGAGAGCCAGAAGTGTACCTTCATAAAAGGTGGATAAGTTGTTCGCGTTTGAATGTCCGTCTGCCATGCACTCTCGTGATCATGGACCAACAGTGGCGCACTGCTTGGTATGAAGTTTACGGTGCGGCGCTGATTTCCATTTCCACGCCGCCATCCTTTAATTGCACCATTTTAAACGCAGAATCTCTAGCTATGTGGCAGGTATAAAATTAGCCTCCTGTTTTCTGACCACAAATTGGTACTCGTTCTTCAACCTTCAAAAAAGAAATCCCTTTGATCCAACCGCTGACTTGTCAGTGTCCAGTGATCTACCAACTGAACAAACGCCAACTTTACGGAACGATCGGTCCATACGAGAAACCAGCACTGTGCATGTGTAATCGCTCAGTACACTTCATGTCACGTCTCAACCTTATGATATGTATGTGCAACCAAGCAAGGCTATCGAGTTTCGCATCTCTTAGGCTAATGAAATTGCTATAGAATAACTGCACAAGTGGGTTAATTAGTTTAAAATTAGTATTAATTCGCAACACGGTAATACCATCATACTGCAATGTACAGTAGTACTGCAGATACTGTATTTCTCTCAAACATTTGCACGTAACTGTAGCTTCGATTAAATACTTGTAGTTTGAGTGAAATGAAGTAGGATTAGTGTCAATACTGTTCTCAGCGAACAATTACACCTTTTAAATTTGAATAACGCCATTGACATTTTTCTGAATATTTAAAATGGTATAAACTGTGGTGTGCAGACAATTTTGCCCGTAATTCAGGGGTGGGGTTTTCTGGGGTGCAGTTGGTTGTGCTCAGTCACTGTCACCCTTGCCTTCCGAACCACACTGAGGCTTGATCATCAATCAGGTTTCATCTCATTCAGTACTGCGTTTTAATAAGTCGCACTTATACTGTATCAGCATGGCTACTAATGAATGAGCAGAATTTTTCACCTTTGAATCCTTCAATTTCTAAAACAAAATCTGCCTTTAAAACTGCCAAGTGGGCGGTCACTCAGCGATATTTAGTCGTTCAGTAAGAAACGCTTCACTGTTTCAGTACCTACTGAACTTCAGTATTTACGTCAGTACTTACTGACTGATTCAAGGCATGAGTTGCCACCTCGCTTTCGAGAGCTCCTTTGCAAGCCCAGACGATGACGTGTCCCTGAACCGGCACACTGTTCAGCCAGCAATTTGCAGCTGTCGATTCTTCAGCCTGTCTTCAGCACCAGTGCCGTTGAGAAACCAATTTTGAATTCATTGGCTACCAAAAAACGCCAAGCTCATCGGTTACGTTTCCTGGTTGTTGC